AGGCCATGAGTGAAAAAAAATATTTAAACCATGTGTTTATTTATTTTTAATCAATATAACATTTTAAAATAATAAAATAGTCAATTTATGTAGGTTATAACCACCAGAATACTAAAATAATAACCGCTAGAAACTAAAATAATAAAATAGTCAATTTATGTCGGTTATAACCACCACCATTAACTTAAAAACTGTCGGAATATGTTAAAAATATTTATAAAAAAAAGAATTCAAAAATACTAGCGGTTATAATAATTTTATGGCTATTGCATTCGACAGTAAATATCCGTCAGGAATTTATGTCGAATATAACCGACAGGATTTCATTGTTATTCAACACTAACTAAGTGATGTGTCAGATATCTTTTATCCGACATAATGACTTATTAAACCACCACCATCATCCGACACCTAAAGCTAATATTGTAGTAGTGATACACACGTTATATGTAGTCAGTATTTTGTTGATCTTGTATTCTTGTTGAAATTTCATCTTCTAGAAAATTATGTTGGCCTGTCATATTTTTGAGACACTTAACCTAACTTTTCGATAAAGTTGCACATTTCGAGAAACGAAAACTATAATGAACAACTAGCATTTGCCTACACACTTTGTGTGTATGAACACGTATTTTTTTAGAAAATGAGAAGGAGAGAGAGAGAGAACGTGAGGGGAGTGGGAGGTTTTTTTTTTTGTTTTTTGTTTTATTTTAAATATTGAAGGTATTTTAACATTACCTATAGGTAAGGCTTCAACAAAAAAACAGTAAAATTTGGACCTGTGAAATTACATTATTGCTCATCATTTTTTATTGTGTGATAGAAGACTAAGTAGTGTTTTCACCATCTTTTGGTTGACAAAGAGGTTTTCATTAATTAATAGAGATAAGAATGAAAAAATAATAGAAAAAATAAAAACTTTAAGGAAAAATTAATATCTGATTCCTAGTTTTTTATTTCATATATTAACTGAGACCTTATTAGTTTTTAGATTTTGATCAAAGTCCCTAGCATTCATCTATTAATAAATTACATGTCAGTTACATTATTTTTTTAAATACAAATTAGTAATTGATTTAGGGTTTTAATGCTGACATCCTTATTAAACTCCTAATTAATTTTCAATTCAAAAAATTTTCAAAATATAAAAAATAAAATTAGAATAAGTTTGTACCCATTAATGTTTTATAAAAAAAAATTTCAATTTTTTAATCTTACATGTAACCATTTATATAATTCTTCTATTTCTCTAATCTTAAATGTACTTATTCTTAGATATACCAATTTGTTATCTATAAAATGTACCTTTATATATATATATATATATATATATATATATATATATATATATATAATTCATTCAATCTTTTTTTTAATTCATTTTTTAAATTTATATGGGTACATTCTATTTCGTTGATTTGAGAATGAATTTATGTCAAGTTTAATAGAAGAAATTTAATATGTACCCATGTTTTGGTGCAATAATTTTTTTGTTAGTTTTGATGAACGTACCCATGTATGTGTGTGCACACACAGACACACACACACAATATATATTGGAGAGTATAATTTATCTTTAATATTTTTTTTATCCCATAAATTATAGGTTTTATTTAAATCTCATTAATATAAATAACTACAAATTTCATTTTTAATTTAAAAATAAAATAACTACATTATTACATTAATGTCAGGAACTTCGATAAAAAAACTGAAAATCACAAGAGTTTTAGTAAAAAAACATTGATAATTAGGGCCCACATCCAAAGTCTCCAAAAATTTAATGACTGAGGCAATATTGGATTCAAAATTTAAACTTTGGCTCTTTTAATTTAAAAACCTAAATTTTTAAAATAGAAATTTTAGCGCGTGAGCAAATTTCAGTTGATTCATGGAGATATTTCATTGAACACTTAGTGAGTTTGTTGTCGTCAGATGAACCATATTACGAATATGTTAACATATATTAACATTTGCTAAAGCTATATAATGAGTGCTATTGATAGCATTCGTGGTTAGATTTTGCTTCGTGATCATAGCAAAGCTTCAACAAGTTCTGAACTCAATTGCTTTATTATATTCTATGCGTTTTCTTCAACAAAGTTAGGCTGAAAGAATCGTTCACATAACATATTTGTCTCCTGAACAAGTCTTTCTTCCTTAATTTTTCAATATTGACAAAACAAAAAAACAAAAAAAAAGCTACGAGATAATCATACTAACTGAACAAGTTGCTCCCATACAACGGTTATCAGTGTTGACTCGTCACGCACACAAAGCTTTCGAACAACTATAACAAAAAAGGCCCACATTTCTCAAACTGTCTCGGAAGTTCGACTACCATGGCGGAGAGCTTATGCACGCGGTTCAAGTACAACCTGCTATGGAAGTGTTTAAAGATTGAGAAAAAGTGGTGATTCGTTAAGTAAATTTTATGTTTGTTGCAAACATTGTTTTAAAAACTTCCATCTAAGTGCTACTCGGCTAGTCACTACCCCGATTAATCCCTAAACGTTTGAAAATAAAAATGGCACCTAGACCTACCTAAGCACCTACCTAGATCGCCTAAGCGCCCTAGCCCACCCAAACCCACCTAGGTCGTGACTCACTTAGAAAATAAATAACTTTCGTTTTGCTTTTTATTTTTTTCAATAAATTGTAAGAGACTAGTCGAATACTTAGATTAACACATATTATATGCTTGTTCTCCACGCATTTTGCTCTCTTGAACTCTACCCTTCTGTCCTAGCTTCTTCACCCTCCCCCGTCTAATAGGATCAAAGTACTTCTTTTTGTGTGTCCCGGGTAAAGTTGATAGGAGCATATGCTCCCAAACAACTTTGAGTGGAGTCGTTCGAAAAGAAGTTTCTATGGCCCCCTTGCTCATTTAACACTGCATCCGGGTGCCGATGGAGATACAGCGACCCTTGCTCACTTATCACTGTGCTCGGGCCGCACAGCGCGCCACTTACGGGTGACGCCCTAGCTTTAGCGCTATTTTGTTCTGGATTCATTTTCATAAGGATTCGACGTGATCATGGAGTGCCGGCTGTCGACTAGGAACGTGGAATATAGGAACCTTAACGGGAAAATCTATGGAAGTAGTGGAAGTTATGGTGAGGAGAAGAATAAATATTATGTGCCTACAAGAAACTAAGTGGGTTGGTAGTAAGGCAAAGGATCTAGAAAACTCAGGGTTTAAACTTTGGTATTCGGGCACACATAGAACGAGAAACGGTGTTGGCATCATCGTGGACAAGACCTTGGTACAAGATGTTGTAGATGTCAAAGAGGGTAGGAGATAGAATCATGGCAATCAAGATTGTAATAGGACAAGAACTTATCAATGTGATTAGTGCGTACGCACCTCAAGTAGGGTTGGATACGAGGTCGAAGGGAGAAATTTTGGGAAGATCTTGGAGACTTGGTGCAAGGAATTGCTCAGACGGAGAAGTTATTTATAGGAGGAGATTTAAATGGACACGTGGGCAGGGAGACAGGCAACTATGGAGGTTTTCATGGTGGCCATGGTTTTGGGGAGAGAAACGAGGATGGGGAAGCTATCTTGGATTTTGCAATGGCATTTGATCTCTTCTTAGCCAACACCTTCTTTAAGAAGAGAGAAGAACATGTGATCACCTACAAGAGTGGGTCGTCAAAAACACAAATAGATTTTCTTCTAATGAGGAAAGGGGATCGTATAACTTGTAAGGATTGCAAAGTTATACCAGGAGAGAGCGTGGCTAATCAACATCGCTTGTTGGTGATGGATGTACATATCAAAAGAGTGAGACAAAAGAACAAGACTTGGAAGTGCCCAAGGACTAGATGGTGGAATCTAAAAGAAGAAAAACAAGCCATTTTCAAAGAGAAAGTAATCACCCAGTGTGTGTGGGATAGAGAGGGGGAAGCTAGCCAAATGTGGGATTCCATGGCTAGTTGTATCCGAAAAGTAGCAAAAGAGGTATTAGGAGAGTCCAAGGGCTTTGCCCCACACCAAAAAGAATCTTGGTGGTGGAATGAGGAGGTACAAACAAAGGTGAAGGCTAAGAAGGAATGTTGTAAAGCCTTATACAAGGATAGGACTGATGAAAATGGTGAAAGGTATAGAAAAGCGAAGCAAGAGGCGAAGAAAGCTGTGAGAGAAGCTAAGTTAGCGGCTTACGACGATATGTATAAACGACTAGATACCAAAGAAGGAGAGTTGGATATCTATAAACTAGCTAGAGCAAGGGAAAAGAAGACAAGAGACCTAAACCAAGTGAGGTGCATCAAGGATGAGGATGGAAAAGTTCTTGCTACAGAGAATGCGGTTAAAGACAGATGGAGAGGTTATTTTCATACTCAATGCACGATAATCAATCGATTTTTTTATAATTTGATTAACCTCAGAATCAACCAAACAAATCTTTTTTCTAACGATTCAATAAATAGACAGCTATTTTTCGTTAACTAACACTTGTTAACATATGGTTCAATGATTTTTAAATGGTGAATTACAAAGTAGACGATTTTGATCATAGTAGACATGTCAATGTTATACCTAAATCGCAACCCCATACCTTAGTCAAGAGATGCTAACAAAATTGTTTCGCTCAGCTATAGATGTTTATCAGCCATTAACATGCAAAAAAAAAATCTTATTATATTACATCAAAAACAACTTTCAATTAATTGTGAACGATTGTCGCTAACATAGCTTTACTTAAGCTCCCCTATAAAGAATTCTTTACATGCACACGTGATCCAGATCCAAGGCACCTTGGATCAAATGCAATGACGTGGGATCCCTACCTAAAATTAAAAAAAAGGCAAAAGAAAATGTCAAAATCTGATCCCCAATTGAAGCAAAAGCTTGTGATTTTGCACCTCTCAACTTACTCTTTAGGCTCCATTTTCATGTGACGTTCACCTTCACGTTCACGTTCACTTCACTCCAACAAAACAAGAGAAAAAATAAACAAAAATATGAAAATTTTCAACCTCCCTCCTCCAATCTTCTTCTTCCTCCTCTCACCTTCTCTCTCTCTTCCTCTCTCTCTCTCTCTCTCTCTGATATTTTAGTTCACTTCCAAAACTCTCTTTCTGTTTGCTTCCTTGTCTCTTCCCCCACTAAAATATCTCTCTTTGGCCTTTATTTTATAAAAATATCTCATCCCTCCTCCATTCAGATTCTATGTTAAATTCCTTTATGCTCATAATTTCCAGCTGATTATATCACTCCAAGAACCTCACAATTCCAAAAACCAGAAACCCACTTCAAAGATGTAATCTTTTCTCTATTCCGCTTCTGGGTTTTGTTTGTTTGATCAATTCTCTTCTGGGTTTTTGTTTACAGTGTAAATCAACACAAATTTACTAACTTTGCATTGATTTTTTCAGATACTTTTGAGGATTGGGAAGCTGTTGCGAGTTCAGCCATGGCACCTACTGCGAAATCGGACGGAAAAACAATCATAGACTCCGCCATTTCATCCAAGATTCCGGCGACCGCAAACCCTTTAGCCGAAGAACCGTCGCAGATTGCTTCCAACATCAATTACCACGCGAAATTCAGCCCCCACTTCTCGCCGTTCAAGTTCGAGCCGGAGCAAGCCTACTACGCGACAGCTGACAGCGTCCGCGATCGCCTGATCCAGGTACTGTACCGCCGTCTCTCAGCCTCCGGGATTTCATTGGCGGACGGTTTTGATTTTTATATTTTTCTTTGTTGGCTTTTTTTAGCAATGGAACGAGACGTACCTGCATTTCCACCAGGAGAATCCCAAGCAGACATACTACTTGTCCATGGAGTATCTTCAAGGACGAGCCTTGACCAATGCGATCGGGAATTTGAATGTTCAGAGTGCTTATGCTGATGCTTTGAACAAGTTGGGGCATCAGCTGGAGGAAATAACAGAGCAGGTAATCTCCGATACGATTTTCGTTCGTTTATTAATGTAAAGATTGAGTTTTTGTTCTTCCACTCAATTAAATTTTGAGCGTTTACTTTTAGTGTTGTTGAAATGAGTTGTATTTTTTACCTCAGAGGTTGTTAAACATTTAAAATGGATTCTTAACTGGTTTTTGTTATATGAATTCGACGTGCAATCTGTTGATGGATGATTGGTAGAAATGAATCTTTGTAGGAAAAAGATGCAGCACTCGGAAATGGGGGCTGGGAAGGCTTGCTTCGTGCTTTCTAGACTCCATGGCAACGCTAAATTTACCTGCGTGGGGGTATGGTTTTTGAGGTACAGATATGGTCTATTCAAGCAGCGGATCGCCAAGGATGGCCAGGAAGAAACTGCAGAGGATTGGCTAGAGGTTCTGTATCACCTTAAGTTCTGTAAAATTTCATGTAGTTCATGAATTCTTACTGATACTTTTTTTTATTGAACTTTATGCAGAAGTTTAGTCCGTGGGAAGTTGTCAGGCATGATGTTGTGTACCCTGTCAGATTCTTTGGCCATGTTCATGTCAATCCTGATGGATCGTAAGTATCTAATACTGATAACAGACTAGATTCGTAGCTCCAAGAATGTTTTTTAATCAATTATCGTAAATTCACATGTGACATGATAGAACCGAGCGCAACGGCGTTCTAGGATTCATATAGCTAACCCACTTAGTGGGAAAAGGCTTTGTTGTTGTTGTATCGTAAATTCACATGCAACTTGGTTGGTTGCTTGAAATATATGTACACTAACTCAGCAATAATTTCTTATGACTATATCACAGCCGAAAGTGGGTTGAGGGAGAGGTTTTGCGAGCTCTGGCTTATGATGTGCCAATTCCAGGATACAAAACCAAGAACACTATTAGTCTTCGTCTATGGGAAGCTAAAGCATCCGCTGAGGACTTTAACCTATTTCAATTTAATGATGGACAGTATGAATCTGCTGCGCAGCTTCATTCTCGAGCGCAACAGGTTGGTCATTAATATCCTAATGGCAAGGTAGTCTTGGAACCACTTGCCATTGTTCAAGTCTTCAATAGACATACAATCAAAAGCCTTTTGAATTTCTTATATGTACATATATGTGTTTATATTACTGTGTATAATAATGTGTGTCCACCACATCGTCATGTTAAAATGTTTTCTTGAACCACGTTATGAAATTGTGCTTTTACAGATTTGTGCTGTTTTGTATCCTGGAGATGCCACAGAGGAGGGGAAACTTTTAAGGCTGAAGCAACAATTCTTCCTGTGCAGTGCATCACTTCAGGTTGGTTTATTATCATTTTAGCCTTCATTATTTTGTTGGTGTAAGAATCACCATTTTTTTCTTTCTATTTTCTGTTCCAGATGACCGTTTAATATTTCAAATTTAATTAAAGTTGAGAAGGTGAAAAGAATCTCACACATTTAGAGAAAATTTTCAGATTGACGTTTTCCCTCACAGTGGTGCTTGATTTCAGATTTCTTGTGTTTTTTGTTTTTTAAAGATGAAAATTACATATCTAGTCTTTCTCGTTAAGAGGCATTTTCAGTTTCTAGTTTGACATCCCGTCAAGATATTGTGATCATCACTCTTTAAATCTTGAAATTACAGGATATTATTTTTAGATTCAAGGAGAGGAAACAGGGGACAGACTCATTGCAATGGTCAGAATTTCCAAAAAAGGTTGCTGTCCAAATGAACGATACTCATCCTACACTTGCAATCCCAGAGCTAATGCGATTGCTATTGGATGAGGAAGGGCTTGCGTGGGATGAGGCATGGGAAGTGACAACAAGGTGCATTCTATTTCATGTTCTTTTAGACTTTCTTGGTTGAAGTTGTTGCCGCACATTCTTCTTTCTTCCATGACTGCTCTCCACTTATTTGTAGTGCTTTTTGCACAAGGAGCTATAAAGTGCTAACTCATAATAATTGAACCAGGACGGTTGCTTATACTAATCACACAGTCCTTCCTGAAGCACTTGAGAAATGGTCACAAACTGTAATGTGGAAGCTTCTCCCTCGCCATATGGAAATAATAGAAGAAATTGACAAAAGAGTAATATTTCTCATCTTTTCTGCTTTTGTTCTGTTTATGCTTAAAATTGTCATCTCCTAATGTAAATTCTTGCATCCTGGCAGTTCATTGCTATGGTACGTGCTACACGAACTGATCTTGAGAGCAAAATTCCCAGCTTGTGCGTTTTGGATAACAATCCCCAAAAGCCTGTTGTGCGTATGGCAAAATTTATGTGTGGTGTCTGCACATACGGTAAGACATCTATTTTGGGAAATTTACAAGTATCTCATGTAGTTTATTTTGAGCTGTCTTCAACATAAACATATGGTAACCTGGTTATTAGAAAGGCAACTTATTCCCTTTTTCCCTAAGAAAAAGGGTTGGGAGAGCAAGCAAGAGATTGTATGCAATAGTGAATACAGAGTCTATGACTCTAAGGTACGGTCCACCATGTACGTTGGTGAGACTTGAACTCAAGCTTTTTAACGAGGAGAAGCAAGTTCTTCCCAGGAAGACACCCATTGGCAGTCTGTTACTCTGCATAAGTGCATATTTTGACTATTCTATTTTATTTCAGAGTCCCATTTTTAGTAAAATTTAATGAGGCTTGAAAATAAATATTTTCTGCTTTCCTTTTGTTTTTTTCCTCCCACAATATAAGACCCCTTATTTCCACATTTGAGCTGTTTGAGTGTTGACGTTGAGAAACTCATTGCTTTCCGTGTCATTGTAGGTTAATGGTGTTGCCCAATTGCACAGTGATATTTTGAAGAATGAGTTATTTGTAGACTATGTCTCTATATGGCCAACAAAGTTCCAAAACAAAACCAATGGGATTACTCCTCGTCGGTGGCTTCGCTTTTGCAGTCCTGAGCTCAGTAACATAATAACCAAATGGTTAAAAACTGATGAATGGGTTACCAACCTGGACCTACTTGTAGGTCTTCGAAAGGTATGTATTTATGTTTTCAAAAAATATATATAGAATTGTTTGTCCTTGCCAGAGCGTTCCTGCAGTTGAATTATTAAAACTCAATGTGTTTTCTCCAACAGTTTGCCGATGATTCAAAATTACAAGAAGAATGGGCGTCTGCCAAGATGGCTAATAAGAAGCGTTTGGCACAGTACATAGAGCATGTGGCAGGTGTCAAGATTGACCCAAACAGTCTATTTGACATACAAGTGAAGCGTATCCATGAATATAAGAGACAGTTGCTGAATATTCTGGGTGCAGTTTATCGGTATAAGAAGTT